CCCCCCGAGAAGCCTGTGCAGGACAGTGAGTTTCATCCAGTGAGTTTCATCACATTTATTTCAGCTGATGTGTGATTACCCAGAGCTTTGACTTTCACATGGACTTTGTCATGGGAATGGAGACTGAAGGCTGACCGGTGTCCACAGGTTATTTGAGGGGAGCTCACTGCTCATATCCTGCTGTTGTCCTCTTGTGAAGCCACGATCCCATAGCCATGATATCACGCATGACATGGCACCGTGGCAGGCACTGAGAGCGAGCGGCACTTTGGGTTGCGAGCACTGTTAACGACGAGCAATTCTGGCAAGGAAATTACGGCAGATCTGCAAAACGTCAATGAATTTCTTCTTAAGCGTGATGCATTTGATTTTTTTTTTTTCCCCTGAAGTCTTATAGTCATCTTTTAAAACAAGCTTCCGTGGCCCCATGGTGAGCGCTCCATTTACCAGATCATTTTTTCTTGATGGCTGTGGCAAGCGTAACAATGTTCCGTGCCTGCTTCAGCAGCGGCATGTCTATCATGCTCCCGCGGAACGTGAATGCGCCCTGCAAAAGAGAGAGCATGGGAAGCTGCAGCCCGGCTCTCCCATCAGAAGACATCTGCTGGCAGGGTGCAGAGATGGCTCCTAGGGGATGAGATAACCAACACCTGGAATAAAGATGGTTTTGGGGTGGGCAGAGGGAATCCCCGTGTCTGGGTGTATGGCTGGGCCTCCCCACCAGGGAGCACGGGGATGGCTGGAGCCTGGGAAAAACAAATGGTTATTGTAATATTGTGGTTATTGTAAGAATCTAGCCCAAATCTCTGGATGCAGTGTGAGGCCCACCTGAATGCTGCTATAGGGGGTTTCCCAGCAGCGATCCCAACACACATCAGCAGTGATGGGAGAACCAAGGAAAGCCGGATCTCACTTTGCATTTCCAGGGACTCTGTGCTGGTGCTGTGCTGAGTTCAAAGCAGTCAGCAATGTGTCACAGCTACCACTTGGCAGAAGAAACATGTATGAAGCAAAGCAAAGCCTGAGTTGGGTGTTCTTACCAAGAGAGGACTTGATGATAAAGCTCCGTGCATCAGGATATGCCAAAAAACGGGGGGGAAATGTTATTTGTAGTTCTGACAGTACCTTGGCACATTCTTGGATAAAGCAAACACGAAGGTGCAATTCTCTCCCCAAGGAGCTGAGAGGGGCACCCTGTGCAGTGTGGCACTGGGTCCAGGGACAGGTTTGGCAGTGAGTGAGGTGAGGATGGGGGGGATGGCATGGGAACGGGTTGCTGCGGGCACACGGGTTGGGATAGGCAGCTTGCTGCTGTCTGCTTGTCTTTGAGGGCTGGTAGGGGTTAAATGGAGGAATCTCATAAACAGAGGGAAGACATTGCCCATTGACAGAAATGGGAATGAAATGTGCTGCTCTGGTGGTACACATCAGTTGACTGAAGGAGTATGAATTAAACACTGAATCACATTGTGAAACAAGTAAAACAAAATCCTTCTTGCACACTAACATGACACAAATCAGTATCACTGCATATAAGAGCAGGCTCTGTAGGAGCCATTAACAAAGCAATAGTTAGAGCTATGATTTTATTGCAAGTAGGATTTCATGCTAGAGCTTGCAGTATTTTAGGGGGGTCAGAGAATAACGGACTGACAGCACTCAGCTGCAGATGCTTCAGATCGAATGTCTTATTTACAGAGCAACTGATCAAGCCTACGTTAATAGCAACAACAATATTAATTACAATAACGATAACAATACTTTCTGCCTTAGTGACATCCCAGCCAGTTTCATGTATAGTTTCAACATTAACAAAAGATGCAGCATCAAGCCACTCCATTTATTAACTGTTGTGAAAATACCGTAAGATTTAAGTAGACCTTTTATGATGCTATTCTTTGAAATCACTCAAATCGATGATGTAACGCTCCTGGTAAGCACAAGGCATATTTTTTCACAGTGAGAAAAATGCATTTTAATTGTGCCTGTTTTCCTATAAGCAGTCGGTTTCAGAATAGCTATTGTTTAAAAGAGAAATTCATGCGTGTGTGATAAGCAGAGAGCTGCTAAGATCAGGAATGGCCCTTCCCAGCCCTGAGAAGTGGATGCACTGAGAGCAGCTCTCCCAAGTGCCCGTAATGTTGTGCAAAGAGGTGGGCGCCCAGTGATGGTTGTGGGGTCAGGGCATGGTCTTCAGGGCCCGTCCTGAAAGGAAAATGGGATAGCAGCACATGGAGGCATGAACACAGAACCACGGCAGGTAAGCAGCGCATCCTCTGTCAGCAAGCAGCTGCAGATTTGGCTGTTATGAATTTGAATTCTCAAAGGGAAAAAAAGCAGCAATGAGTAGCACAAAGAATTTGGCTTCTCTGCCCGTTCACTCAGAGGCTTAATTTCTCCCTGCTAATTTGCAGTGCTGAGCTCAAGTCCAGAAAAAGAAACCGATTTTAATGCCATTGAATATGCCCTATTCACTGCCTCCCCTTCCACCCACAGGTTTCGGCAGATAGGAAATACCCGTAATTACAGCTTTGTCCCCACGCTCTCTTTTCCGTCTCTGGTAGCAGAAATTCGCCCTTAACACTCTTTTGATTTTTATTCACAAGAAGAAAACGAGACTTTCTATAAACACCATTGACTTTGATAGTGTTAATCTGAGGATCGGTGTAGCCATAGATCTCAATTTTTTTTTTTTGGCTGATGGTCTTCATCTCACACTTCCAGCCTGTACTTCCAGTAATTCAGCTGCTGGTCAGACCGAGTCAGCTCTCAAGGAAACAAGATCCAGGCCAAGGCCAAAGAGGTACCATCCCCTCTATGATGAATTTCAGTGTGTCCTAAAGTGCTCTGAGAACAGAACATAGAGGGCTTTTGACAAACAAAACAGCTGGAAGGGAATTAAAATTAGATAAAGTTATATCTTTTTTCTTCTTTTCTTTTCTTTCTATTTCTTTCTTTCTTTTTTTTTTTTCTCTTTTTTCTTTTTCTCTCTCTTTTTTTTTTTTCAAGAGGAAACTAACAAAAAGTGCTAGTCTCAGAAAAATTAGAACTGAGCCCAGTCAGTGTCAGTGCCACAGAAATCCAGCCTGCTGACATGGGAAGCAGCAACAGAGCTGACAGAGGTCAGCCAGTTTCACAGGCTGGGAGCTGGAGAGGCAATCTGAGAAAAAGGGGCCAACTAATCATAGCCATTGCCCAAACTAATTCAGATCTAACAGTTGAGTGCATAACTGGGGACTCCTCACTCACAATGTACATGACACCCGTATCCATGCGTTGCCATGGATCAGGTCATAGATTTCCAATGTGTCCCATCTATACAAGAAGCACCAAGTAGCAGAAAGTTTTGGCGTTGACCTTTTATATGCAATGACTGAAGGCTAAATGTGTTAATGTGATGGTTCCTGGAACACACAGATCTTCTTTCTGTGTGTTGTATGAGGCAGAATCCAGGATCTTCTGCCTTGTGAAATTTTGGGGATGGTTAAGAGCTTGCTAAATCTATACTATCCTCTCACAAACATAGCATAAGTTTTCTATGGCAAGACGTATTTGATCTTCCTAGAAAGTAAATGAATGGGATTCAGAGTTAGCGATTTCTGTACCTGCTGGGGATCAATGGGTTTTGGGGGAGCCAGGAAAGGGGAAAAAACTCCACATCCAACTTTCTTGCTGGCATTTATTATGCGTGGAAGAGCTGTGGTGACTTTGAGTGGACAGAAAAACCAATGAGTCACCTGTCATGACTTTGCAGAAGATCACGGAAATTGAAGTCTCTAACTTCTTCATTTCTGCTGAAACACCTCCATGTAATGTGCAGTGCTATACAGGGTTTTACTCCCTCCACTTTTATTTCCTTATGTATCACTGGGTAAACTAAAGAAACAAGCTGGCTGAAGCTATTGGGGTACAGAGCACTTTGGGGACCTCATAACTCTGTAGTGCACTTGCCTCTGAGCGATGGCTTGGATGAAAGACAATGAGTTAATTAAAGCAAAATAGTAATTGTTCTGGGACATGTGGGACAGCAATCAGACAAACTAGTCCCCCTTGGTTGACAAGAGGGAGGAATTAGAGGAATTCCCACTCCTGGGAACACTTGGGGCAGTTTCCTCAGTATTTGCTCTTTCCTTGCATCTACCCATACCCATCTGGGTGGCTGCAATGAGCTCCTTGCAAACGCAGCTGCAGATCCTCTCTTCCCTAGATGGAGGAAAATACCAGAAGCAGGATCAGTTTTCCTAAGGGCTAGCAAGTATATATATTTGAAAGTACTGAGAAAATCCAAAAAAATCACCAAAATCTACTGGCTTCCCTTTTGGTTACAGATATGACTCCAAATGGTTGCGAGGACTCCGTGTTCTGTTTTGGGAAACAGTAGTTGTTCTCAATTACCTTGACCTCTGCTAATCAACCTTGCTTGTGGTTTGTCTATTGCAGAAAAAAACCCAACATTTATTTCGTATAACGTGAAATAATATAGCCAACGGTGCTGTGCTCAGTGGTGTGTCTACAAGTATGGACTGCACTGGGCAGTCCCATGTGGGGATAGCCAGCTCTCTCAAAGCAGTTTACTTCGGGATCCTACTCAGGAGATTTGGATGGCAGGCTTGGAGGTACCAGGAGATGTTTATGAGCAGATAGGGCCTTAGCATGGGGCACTCTGGTCAGTGAAAGAAAAGGAGAAGAGAGCCAATTCAATGTTCCATGGAATTGCAGTTCCTATGAGAAAGAACCTGCTGCTGAATTTTGAATTAAACATAGGTCTGAGGTGAGGGTTATTGAATGCCTGTGAAATTACCAGCAAATCTCTGCTGCTGGTTAGGTGCTCAGAAGATGAGCAAGCTCTTGAGTGAGGGGAAGTCCTTTGGAGGACTCTGGTGTCGCTAGTTAGAAACACTGCTCTGCTGATGGAGATGTGCCTTTCTTCAATTACTTTTCTTCTCAGTTCCGCTAGAAATACTTTCCCTTGCAGACCAAATCCCTGCACTCATGTAGGCAAGTGTCCCCAATTCCACAGACACTAGAAATGTCTTTGAGACACAATTACCTGAGAAGCAGTCTCTATTTCTGTTGTAATTCGATGGATTACTTGGGGATAGATCCTAGAAGTCTACTTAGGACTTTTTGGAGATCACAAATGTACGTACAATAAACCCATTAAAATCCTCACAGGTCTGAGAACATTATCCCTTATCCTGCACATTAACCCGTCCTAAGGAAATGGGAGTGCTGTGCCCTAGAAGAATGGCAGATTTGCTCTTCTGAGGAGGGGAGGAAGCAGGTGGATGGCAAAGGGTCCTCCTAAAAAGCATGGCATTCAGGAAGATAATTCCCTCAAGGATTAATGAAAACACACATTCTTTAAGCACCCCCCTGCAGAGGAAATGTGGAAATCTCTGCTTCAGGGCTTAAAAAGAACGCTTGGATTTGCTTACAGGTATTTGAACAAAAGGGAGCCCAGCTCGCAGCACATGGAGCTGGGTCTGTGCCTGGGGGAGGAGTGATTAGCCTAACCACAAAGGAATGACTTTCCCTTCAAACAGA